AACTCTTTGATCACACCTTGCATTTTTGAATATTTTGGCTAACTGGATCCATTTAAAAAGAGAACCGTGTGAATATGGTCATTTTCACATACAAGAGAAATGGTGTTATTAACACAGAATCTAATGTTCACATTAGGGCTGTGCGATATGACCAAAATCTCATATCCCGATATCAAGACATCTATCATCCGATAACGATATAAATCACAAAAATTTAACACTTTCTGTAAATTCTGTGAATCTCGGGCAGCTCAACTTGCGTAAAGTGTTTCCAGCTGCGCGTCATGTACCTGGAGTCGAATGTTTTAACCGATGCATGAAACTATACATTTTTAGACATAAGTTGTAACGGCCGCCGTTTTCTTTGTGAGTATTTATTACACAGCGTGCTGCGGGGAAAAGCCTGTTCTAACGATTGAGTCTAAGGTTAATTTTTTAGCACCTGGCGACTCTTTTTTGCGAGACAAAAGTCTCTAAATGCGTTGTTGTCAATTATTAGTCCAAGTGCTCAGTCTGGATAGTCTTAAATAATTTCTGCACAGAAAAAAAACAAAAAACAACAGTGACTAAACAGACTGTACAAGCTGCATACTTGTAGTTTTCCCACAGCGTGCTAGAATTTACCATCAACCATCAATTTCTTAAACAGCAAAGTACACATGAAGCAGACCTCTACATACCATCTCATGTGTCTCATCTGACAAAGTTAGTTCCCCTTCACACTTAATCACTTTTATTATTAGTAAGACAGACACCAAGCTTTAAAGTTCCTTAAAATGTCTTGTTAAGTCAAATTACGAGAAAGAAGAACAAAAGAGCACCTTAGAGCAGAACATTTGGTATTTAATAACAGCCTGATATCACACTGAGACTGAGAAAATGATTAATGTACTATTTAATTAGTGAGGCAGGCTTATAAGCACTTTCTGTTCAGGAGCATATGGATTATTGCCTTTTGTGCTTTATTCAGCATTGAGTACATGGTGGATTTCTTTTCGAGTACCTTTAACATGCATTATGTGGTTTGTT